ATATATATATATATATATATATATATATATATATATATATATATATATATATAATATATATATATATATATATATATATATATATATATATATATATATATATGGTGGAATAAATCAAACCTTCCCTCCTTCCTGCCTCTCTCAGCTGTGCTTCTGGCTCTGTCTGTTCTTTGGTATCATGGGTTGATCTAACCTGTCGGCTGTGGGAACCCCCTGCTGTCAGACTGAGTCCAACAGGCTGACATCAGTTTGATACACGGGGCTCATGACACTTGGAATAGATTAATCAGTAATTACTCTAACAGTTCTTTGCAATGTTCATATTCCAGTTAGAAGAATAATACAGAGAAATATTCACCTGGAGTAAATGTGCTTTACTTATTTCTTTGACATTTACATCTCTGCATCCTTTGCCACCCGAAGTGTCGAAGATAAACTACTGCTTTATTCTTGTACACCCTTTGTCTCATACTTGCAAAGACCATACAAGCTACCAACACATAATGGAGGAAATGATACTGATTAGGACCCACATATCTATTTACAGACATGAAGAGATATTTTATAAAACCTGTAAAAGACTTATCAGCTCCACTGTCCCGATCCATCCAGTTTAATCTAACTGCACTATAATGAAGGTTACGTTTTAACCAGCATTGTTATTTCCTGGTGTGAAAACTATTAGTATATAATAAACAGCAGCAAAGACACAGGCTGTGTTACAGGCTTGAAAGGAATATCTGTTCGGTAAATGACTCGCTTTGTAACCATCAACCTGTGCCTGAAATACTGCCCGATCACTTTGCCAGCAAATAGTGTGGGTCAGCTTTCTCTTCCGCTCAGAGAAACTCCCTCCGTGCATGGTGAGACTTTCTCTGCGCGTTACCTGAACCGACCAAAGAGATCAGAACTCTACTCTCAAAGAGAAAGTAATGCATCATCGAAAAAGACATTTCTACGTGTTTTTCAAACCACCACTCCAGAACTTTTAGCTCAGATGTGGATCGAATAGCAGAATCAAGTAATAAATGCACTAAATTCCGCATAAGAGATAATTCTACTGAGGTCAGAGGATGGATGGATGGATGGATGGATGGATGGATGGATGGATGGATGGATGGATGGATGGATGGATGGATGGATGGATGGATGGATGGATGGATGGATGGATGGATGGATGGATGGATCAGAGAAAAATAGCTTTAAACTGTTTTTAATTGGGTCCTTGCAGCTGTCAACTATCCCGCTGAGCCAAAATGACCCTAACCGTGAAATCCCGTCACTGGATCACATCAAAGTTTTTATAAGCCCATCTACCATATATGGTGTCTTAAACGGGGTCAGAAACCACTTTGTTTGCAAAGGGTGGAGTACATTAATGAAACCGTCAAGCTGGACGGCAGGCTTATCAATCACTCAGCTACCTTATCACCTTCAGCAGATCCACAAAGCTTACCCTCACTCTCTTATCAGGCTAATCCGGCTAACTCCAGCACCGACTCTGTGAGCACAGCGGGAATAAATTAGTTTACTGCAACTCTGATTGGATTAAGACCAAGAAGTGAGCCCTGACCCTGTGACTCCGGCAGCTAAAGGCACTGGGCGCTCAGCTTTGATAAACAAGGTGGTTTAAGAGAAAACAAATCGAGGAAATACATCATGAGCTGTTCCCCTGAAAAAAAATGAACATAAGATTGTCAGTTATATTTGAATAATACAGCTTTGAATGCTTATGCAATGAAAATAACTTCTAAATGTCAAAATGAGGGATTTTAAATGACAGCTGACTTAATAGAAATCTAGAGCAGAAGTCTCTGGAGTCCTTTGTCTGCTCTCCATCAGAACCATCATGGCTGAAACTGCTTTACAATATGAGCAGCATTCAGAGAAACTAACTACACACTCCAGGACAACTGTTTACTCATCCCTCTGTGTTTTTATAAGTACAGATGTGGAAACAGAGATTTCCTACTCCAGTTGGGAAGTCCCAGATGAATACAGATGCTTAGCTGTCACAAATTGACAGACCTGCAATAAAGAAGCAATGACAGCAACACTTCAATAGACTAAAGAGTCACTCTAGGAAAGAGAAACAAAACTGTAATATGAGGAGAGTGAAAGGAAATGAAAACTTTAAAATGCTGCCAAGCAGCAGAGTCGCTGATGGTTTAAATAGAACACATGGAAGACACAGTTATACCTCTCAGACTTGGACTAATCATGCGTAAAATTGTGACATCCTACTTAGTACCGAGTGAGATCAGGCAGTTCACAGGCTAATGAAATACGGGGACTTCCTGGAGGGGATTTGTTGAAGATGGTAGAAAAAAATATCTAAAGCGATGCTTTATTGAGCTTAGCTCTATCTGATACCCTTAGATCCCAATGCAGAACGGGACGGTATGAGAATCCGACAACATGATAACGCTCGGTAAATAGCTTTGACATATCACTGGCTAGGTGCTTTTAATTTGAAATAAAAAGCACAAAAAACTGCTACTCCTGCAAAAAAAAAAAATCATAAAACATCATTTAGCCTCATTTCTAAAAACAGTTGCACTTATTTTGATTTAGTAGGATAAATTTTGATAAATCCACTTGATTGAGTAATATTTTTAACTAAAAATGGACCAAATATTTAAATTTTTACTATTTTTTTTCCTCTCCAATATACAAAATAACATTATAAGTATGACAAAAAACAATAGTAATTATAAATGGCAACAACTTCCTAAAATGCCTAAATAAGAATAATGGGTTATAGTTTCCGCACCATGCTTATCTGTGCTTTTCACAACCAGTCAAACACTTCTTCTTGCAACCAAAGGAATGGCGTAACAGCCTTGTTCCAGCCAGCTGAATGGCAGTATGAGGTAAGTGACGGTGACTCTTCATGTTTTCTAACAAATGGAAATATTTCATAAAACAGAATACGTCTGTATTACAGCTTGGGGAAAAAAAGTGAAGCTACCTATTTTCAGCCAGCTGGGCTGCTGTGTGCAGCGAGTGGCAGGGAGGGAAAAGAATCAAAACATCCAGAACACTGATTGATCAAGTTTTGGTGTTTAAAATAGATTTATGTAATCAAATTTGTCTTTTCTTGAAAAGAAATGGATGGGAAAGTCTCATAGCCTTCTTTCATCCAGCTGACCGGTGGTGTGCAGCGGCGGCAAGGGGAGGCGCCGATACTCGAGTTGAGGGGGGATGAGGGAGGATGGCATCCCCCTTCTTAAAAAAAATCTTAAAAATCATCGCTCTTCTTAAATGACCATCCCCTGTGACATTTTATCACTGAGTATGTAAAGTGTTTTATATATGAACGATAATGGCAATGTTATTGCCCTTTCGACATTTGGCGGGCTGTGTAGCTGTAGGGGCAGTGATAGCCATGCCAGTCCAGGGACTGATTGCAGTTCTATGGTAAGGTCCATTGATCAATGTCAATGACCGGCGAACCTGACATGTAACAATCACCCCGTGCATATTGCTTTAGATTAATATACTATATAAATGAGTCAATGTCTGCTTCCAAAAAAAAAAAAAATCCACCATCCCCTTTTTTTTTATTTTTATTTTTTTTTTTACAACTAGACTACTGGGCGGTGCTGTAGTGTTAAGTCAGTCAGAGAAATCTTTAGTCATTTCAGCAACTTTTTTGAAACTCCATTAGAAGAAATGTAAACTTAAAAAATCATGGTGTGATGGAGAATGAATTGAAAATTTGGAGGGTGGGAAAAACTCCAATAACCTCCATGTTGATACAAATGCCCACATTGTCCCTAAATAAAAAACTGTAGAAGTCACATGTCTGATCAAAGTACATTTATCCATTTATAGGATGTAGAGTAGTGTTATGACAACCACCTGCTCCAGCCTCCCTTCTTTACAGATAAAGGCTCTGTGGACATTTCTGACTGAATCTAAAATTCCTAAATGAATAAACAAACGCAAATTTCTAAATAAATCAAGAAGGGACTGTAAGCTCCATGCTTGCAACACTTCCCTCAAATCTTTTACTTTCAATTTGATTTTCCTGTTGCACCTTTAACCTCAGAGGCTGTAAAAAACCTCACCAATAGAGTAACAAGCCACTGTTCCTTGATCACAATGATCTTCCTTTTCTATTATGGATCATGGTGAAGCTGCAAGTGCACCCACATCCACACAGTGTCCAGGACCTGCATGAGATTGCAGGAAAGCCCAGGATCTCCCAGCAGAGCGGGGAAACACCCAGGGAGGGGAGAAAGCAGCCAGCAGAGTCTGACATCATCCAAGTGCGGGCCATGTTCATGCGACGCTTCAGATTCATGCGTGTACGCACAGTTTCTCCCCTCACAATGACGCACACCCACGCACAGATGTGTAGTTTTCTCCTTTGGGTCATTATCCGGAGTTTCTGCTGCACCATCGGCGCTGCAGTTCACACAGATTGGACCATAAAACCAACCCTGTAACCCACTTCCAACCTAGTATGGCATCTAAAGCACATATGACAGCCAGACGTGGCCGTGCGTAATCACACCATCCACACATCGCACTGCAGATGCCGAGAATTTATCCAAAAATCTTCAACCTCATTCAGCGGTAGTAGGATTTGGTTGTGAAGTTCAACGGGGATAAAGCTGGGATATCTGGAGGCTTGAGTGGAACTGCAGAGAGTCTGGGTTTGGTGTAGTAAACGGGGCAGAACCAGCGGGGTGTCGCTTAAAAAAACTGCAATGCCTCCTGTCAAAACCGCGCGTCCCGGGGAGGATTGTTAACGCAGCAACAGCGGGCGGTTGACTCATCTTCAGCCTCACCTTTTTTTTCCGAGGGGAGAGAAATCAAGAGGAAGAAAGACAGCAGCGGAAAATCTTCAGGCTAGTTAGCTCTACTTCCTTAGCAACCCCCCCCCCTAACCCAGCCAGCCAGCCATCCAGCCAAGCAGCGCTGCTTCTCTGGGTCCTTCTCTCCAGCCCCCACATTTCCGCACAGCCCTCCCTGCGCGTCCTGGGACTTACCGCTCTTATATGCCGCTGGTGCCGCTGTGAAGGCGAGACAAGTACAGGGAGGCTGCCGGCCGCCGCTCCGCTGCTCCGGGACAACAGGAGGACCGATCTGCACACTTTCGCAGCCATCTCTGTAGTAGTAAAAAAAAAAAAAAAAAAAAAAAAAAAAAAAAAGAAAAAAAAAAAAGGAACCCTCACCGGGTAGGAGATTGCTGCGGGCGGACCGAGACGCACAGGAGGGAAGAGGGAGGGTGGTAGGCGGGGTACGGGGCTGGACTTTCTGCAAACACATGCCCAGTGTTACACCAGTAAGCAGAGATTAAACAAAACTCTGACTGGAAACTCATTCTTAAAAAAAAAAAAAATTAATAAATAATGAAACAAATATTTATGCAATCTCGCATTCAGCAGCATTCACTCTGAAGAAATTAAACACCTTTATAAAAACCCTATATTTGCTGTAAAGCTTCTAATGATAATGAAGCAGATGTGATTCCAGTTGTTTATATATAAAATAGGTTTAGTGAGTTTTAGATAATCCTGTTGAACAGGGATATTCAGAACAAGAATAGGCTGGTGTTTTTAATTGGATAATGTCTTATTTGTAAAAACCAGAAATGGAGAAAGGGAACCCCTCTCCAGCAGAGATGGGAAGTAACGAAGTACAAATACTTCGTTACTGTACTGAAGTAGATTTTTCTGATATTTTTACTTTACTTTACTACTTATTTTTATGGCGACTTTTTACTTCTGCTCCTTACATTTTTACACAAATATCTATACTTTCTACTCCTTACATTTTAAAAAACTGGCTCGTTACTTTAGTTTTGAATCATTTCAATGGAGTTACCGTTATTATTTTTCACGTCATCAATACCAAATTCAGTCCAATTGGATGAGAATCTATGTTGCATTTGACGCACCACTACAAGATGAATCGACAGATTCGGCGGTATTCATTTGCGGCAAATCATTGCAGCTTGGTGGCGGTGGCGTTAGCATAGTAGTATGGACGACGAGATGATTGAAAATGAACACAACGGAGATCTAATCCTATTGGCAGACATCCATTTAAAATGTAGGCAACGGCATGAAAAAAGTGGTTTCTACTTTTACATTTATACTTTAAGTAAATTTACAAGCCTTTACTTTGTTTAATCAGTACTTCCACTTTTACCAGAGTATTTTTTAACACAAGTATCTGTACTTTTACTCAAGTACGGAAAGTGAGTACTTTTGCCATCTCTGCTCTCCAGCAGCCTTTAAGGTATAGAGCAGGTATCCCCAACCTCGGTTCTCGAGGCCCGCTGTCCTGCAGGTTTTAGAGGTTTCCTTGCTCCAGCACAGCGGATTTTAATTGAAAGCTGATTAACAGGCTTTTGGTCTACTGCAATCATTATAATCAGCTGTGCTAAAGCAGGGAAACCTCTAAAACCTGCAGGACAGCGGGCCTCGAGGACCGAGGTTGGGGATGCCTGGTACTGAGGACGATCTATTCTATTTCCTGGTGGATCATCATAATAACTGGTCTTCCTAATTGTCAATCATTCCGGTGATATCTTTACGTAAGGGCGACCTACGTGCTTGTCCCCAGTTAGCTTTTTCTGCACATGCGCCCTTTCAGGCATATATTTGTGATGAGCTACTGTTTAAGCCAGTTAATGAAGCTCACCGCGTTTTTTTGAAAATGGTCGAGTGTCGTAAGAGAAAAAGTGTAAGAAGAAAAGAAAGGTCTCAGAAGAGGCAAAGCATTATGGGATTTACTGTCACAGTGGCCCACTGTCACCATTGGATGCCGCTACCCGACAGCAGCGATTAATAACAACGATGGCGCAGGCACCATGCGGAGGAGGAGGAGTTACCTAACCAACAGGGAGTAAAAAGCAGTGATCATTTGTCCAAATGGTCAGTTAACTGAGTTTGCCATAAAGTCCACTATATAGTCCCTGCTTTATAAAGTGATTGAGGGATTTAGGGGTTAGGGCGGACGGTAAGGTTGTATGAGCGATGAGAACAGCAACTTTTCAACAGAGCGTGCACGAGGAGTAATTGAAGGCTTTCCCTCCCGGGAGCCGGTACAGGGTTGTGCATGTGCTTTTTTTTTTTTTTTCCAAGTAGAGAGACTTTTCAAAAATTCTCCACAATACCTTTAAGTGCATTGCTCAGGTTTGCACTGACATGTAGCACAGGATCAATAACAAAATATATCCACTGAGCTATAATAATCAAACCAAATTCTTTAACCTCTCTTTTTTTCTTTTTTCTTTTTTTCTTTTTGTTTACCAGTCTCCTATAATGTATGAACCGGTGACATGTGATATGCCCCGGGGTTTAGAAATCTGACTGCCTCCTTTCTGTTTGTTTAGATGGTTTCCCTTGGCAACCTTACACTCAGATGCTGCAGTGTGTATTAATTAACAATGTCAAATGATATGTGGATCAGTAAATCCAAAAAAGTGAGGATTTTAGAAAGCTCACTGCAACAGCAATGCTTATTATGGATTAGTAAGTAGAAGGCTTTATTTTCCTAACGATGACTGTGATAGACTATTTGCAATAATAGACTAATAGCAAATAGGAAAATAATTATAAAAACTGGCCAAGTCAGGTGATTCTAGAAGCGAGTTTATATCTAGTGAAGTTAATTCATTTTGACAGCTTTCCAAAGTAGCTTTAAACTGTTTAAACCCTTAATGTCTGAGTTTAATGTAGAGAAGTCTATTTTTAAGATCTACGTTGCCACAGGATGATACATGCAAAGAATCATGAATGATTTGCTGTCAATAGCCAGAGAATCCTTTCAGCTGTCTAAAAATAGCCTGTCCTTCAAGTAGCTCGTGACTACGCTGTGCTCCACAGACAATCCGACTGGATCAGATCTAAGATATTCATGGCATTGAAACTGAAACTTTAAAATCAGTGTTTTTAAAAAACAAGCAATGGCATGGAAGTTGTTTTTTTTTATATTTTCTATAGTTTGTTTTTTGTATAGAAACAGTGAATCCCTGCAAAAGCTGATAATGATAGTGGTACGAGGTTTTCCTGGAAAAACAAATAGCAAGGAGGCACCCCTCTGAGGAATTTGTATTGCCTAACCTGGACCAAGCCTGCCATAACGTCTTCCTCTGACACACCTGTGTTGGTCGAAGGAGAAACCTGACGCCACAATAACTCTTAGAGTAAACATGTTGAGAAACTTTTAGGTTACCAATTTGTGTGATAACATGGATTCCTTATTATTATAATATTTATTAATATTATGTGTTATTTATTCTTAAGACAATGCAATATACCTAAAGATGGAGTCAATTAAAGGCTAACAGGGTTATGGTTATCTTGGTGTTTATTGTAATTCTGCTTTGTTTTTGTTTTTTCTTGCCATAACATAGTTACGTGTAATTTTTCCTAAACTCATCCCAATCCCCTCTTTTCCTTTAACAGTGCAAAGCATTTGATCCTTGTGGGAAATGCTATTTAAATGCAAATTCCCAGCCAAGGACAGCAACCCACTCAAGACTAGGGCTGCATTGGTTCAGAAAGTGAAAATCTCTGTGGGTTACCTGGCACACGTACACCTTTTACAGTGCATATTGAACATGTTTAATCAATGCAGGCTTGGTTTGATTCAGCACAACATGCAACATCTAGCATACTAGGAAAGGTTTTCCAAAACACAAATTGTTAAAGTGCTCAATAGTTATTTATTTTATTCAATCATTTCATAACTTTCTAGTTTTTATTTATTTTTAATAGATTTTTGTGGTATTAAATGTGACCATCTGCCATGGGATACTCCTTAAAACTATCAGTAACATTATTATTATAAAGCATAATTTTAATATCTTATCACCTGTTATTTAAACTAGTGGAAGAGATTCAGCCCAGTCTTATCAGGTGGTTGTATTTTTCAAAATGAAAAGAATTGTAAAGCCGTCCGGTCTAATTAGAAATCATTAATCACATTCTTAGCTATATATGGGTTGGAGACCCATCTTATCTGAGCGGTGTTCAAAAGTGACAAAAAAGAAAATGTAATTCATACCTAAAGTTTAGTAGAGATCATAACCTAGAGAGGCACAAGTTCTTTTAAACCTTTTCTAAGTGCTTTACTCTAACAGCCTAATTTACAGTCATAGAGATATTTTCACTTTGATTTTGAGATTTCACAAAGAGGAATTCTTTATAAAGTGAAGAATATTATGAACGAAAGTGAGCATCCTCTTCAGAAGAGTGTCTTCAGTCAGAGGTTTCTAAAATCCGACACAAGACAGACCGATACAGAAGATCCTTCCTGTCAACAGCTATCAACATCAACAACACCTTTTTTAAAAATAACGTAGGTGTTATTGCAACATTCAATTTCCCTTTGGGATTCATCAAGTATTATTTAATCAAATTTGAATTGCATTGAAAATGAATTTACATTCACAATTGCTTTAAAGTGTTTAGGGCCGCAACAATTGAGATCCAATGCAATTCAAGTTGGATAAACTGCTGTTGGAGATAGATTCTTTAAGTTAAATGTTTCCCCAATTTTAAAGCAATGACTCTAAAATGTGGTATAATCTCTTTTTTTTTATCCTTCTCTACTGGCATATTAAGGTTTAACAACAAGATGAAGTCATGGTGTAAGGAGAAAATTTGAGAACAAGATTAGGTGTGTAGGTAGGTTTGCCTGTCTGCTTGTGCTTGCACAGGTTCATGCATGACTGAAACAGGGCTGAGCCTATAGTCTAACAGAAAAGGCAATCCCTAGCAGTGCGTCATTTCTGTTTCAACCAATTGGTTTGTTCTGTAAACTTGGTCTGAATAAGGAAGGGTGTCTTCCATTTTTATGAAGCCCTACAGACTATGCAGAAATATGGCCCAGCTTTTGTCTACAAGTTATGTTTTGTCTTTCACCTCTTTACAAAGCAAGTTTGTGGATCAAGTTACACCAGTTTTCAACAGCCAAATATGATTAACTGGGAAAACATGTGCTGTTGCTGCAGAGACCCACAGGTTCCCTTATGTTGCTTTTCCAAGTAGCTGAATCAGTCACAGAGACGGCGACACTGTTCCTGATAAAAAAGAGTCACCAAAAACGCTCTGGGCTTTAGCAGGTTTGCTTTATCTTCTGTTTCAAGTTGCACTGCCATAATGCTATAACAGCATGACCTTAATCA